ATTGAATGATAACAATCATCAACTTCGGATTTTTTTCCGACCCGCTGAAATATTATTACCGGATTCGGCTGATACCCCGCCCATCCTAAACCCAGCCCATGGGCGATGTTTTAAATAGTGGGCGATGTTTTGGTCCACACATTGGCTGACTGAACCAACAAACATTGTTACAGACCCAAATTTTCCCGTCCGACATCTTGCATCGAGCGCGCTATTTCAAATATGATGCTGAAAATAATTCACTGTGAAGTCAAAACGCGTAAAAACCCAATAAATCTAATGCTGTAAACGAATTGTTGTTGCATGAAAAAATGGTATATGCAAGTATTTATCACCAATTTCAAAAGTAAGAGTTGTAACTTTACATTTCACTTACGTTTATTACACTCGAATAAAGTCTACGCTTGAAAAGAATGCTATTTACGAAGTTTAAAATAGCCAAGACTTCCTGATTCGAGCCTCTTGGTTGATTTGACAATGGTAGGTATCATTAATGTTTAATTTTTATATCACATTCCAGACAAAAAGTTCAAGATCGATAAACAAGAAATGAACGAACTAAAATGTCTCCTGTGTTTCACTTGCGACGTGATTATTAAAAAAACACATGATCTTGTATTGACGTGTTTTTTGTCAGAAAAAGTTGTTTCATTTCAGTTAACTCTTCGCGTTCATGGTATTTGTGAGAGTTAAAAGATTTTTTGAACAAATGATAAGTAACTATATTGAATTGCGCCAAGCTGGGTGGCCCGAATTTAAATATCAGTATGTGAACTCTGGAGGTCATTACCCAATGCCGCACGTAATTCAAACACGTGGTTAGTAGAGATCAGTCGAAATGTATGCGAATTATGCGATCAAAGTGCGCTACCAAAAGTTTATTATATTATAGTAAAATTTAACATGACGCATGGTATGGTTTATAATATTACATATTCACATCATTTCGAATAAAATAATTCACCACTGGAACATCGATGAATCACAAGTATTTAAAATATTTTCTCGACTTTCCGTAGACACCCTACTACTATTCCGTTCAATGATTTAAATGCGCCCATGTTTATGTTTGTGTAATTATTACGAATGCAACGCATTATCAAGTCCGTAATATTGAAATATTCACAGACCCAATAGCCCGGGTCAGTGCCCTAATAATAGGAAAAAAACAACTTGAATTTTCATAGTTATCATGAAAGCAATACATTACAAAGTTGAAATATTCAAAGCTAGTACAATATTGTAAACACATTTGCGTCAGTACAGAGTTGCATACAAGTTCCGTTCATTACAGTACCGTCGGATATACCATAACAAGTTTACTAGATCGACGCACGGAGCACAAAAGAAAAAGGTTGCTAAGGTAATGCGTCAGTTCAGTGCGTGACTTGGGGTCAAACTTCGGCCAACACACATTTGATGTCAGCAAGTTTCGCAGCAAGTTCTTGAAGTTCAACTGCACCCCAAAATGATGTCGCTGATCATTCAGTTGTCGCAGCGTGTGTTGTGTCATGTCCATGATGCACCCCATTTTGACTTTGGTTTGCTTTTTCTTCTTAGTGTTCATGTTCTTGTTCACGTAAATTGCGACCTCTCACCAATGTATTAAAACACTTTGAATTTATACTTTGCATGATTATAGTTGGTTAACGTGACACATTATTTTTTCTAAACATTTTCTGAGACCATTTTTATCAGTGCAGGGTTATTTTTCCAGACAAGATGGGCTTCGTAATATCTGCCATAACATCACCCAGGCAATCTTTTGGTCCACATTTTTCTAAAAAAAAATCAAATCGTCCATAAGATCGCCCAGGGCAGGGTATCAGCCGAATCCGGTAGTTGAATTCAAACATGCTTTAGATATTGAGATATAAGTGAATTAACAGACAGATAACCAGCAATTATTTGGCTCAACGTTTAAATCCCACAAATACAGTGTCACCTACAGAGAACAAATTAAATGATGTGTGTTTCTCTGAAACCGTTGTGCACTTACCTCTAACTCTGTGCATATGTCTTTACAAATACTAGCAACCTCGTTACAAAGAGTGGAGGCATATTCTTGTGTTCTATTAGCTGTAAGTACATCGTTTGCCCTGACAGACAAAAACAAATACAGATGACTTTAATTATCTAAATCGGTGTGATATGCTGCAAAAAATAATCTGCCCGACCACATGAAACTTAGAAATAGAAATGAACAGAGTAATAATTTTCATACAATGTAGACTTGGTTTCAGTATCTTGTAGCTGTGCTACTGGGACAGAGACTGGAAATGAAGTCTTCATACAATGAAGCACTCAATTTTATATTATGGACACCTTTTCACCACTGATTTCCTCATTTCATCGCAAATTCACAAAATATTCTCATTTATAGTCAGCACTTTCCTTCAGAAGATTATCTGATACATGAAGTACAATATATGACATACCCGTAGTTATTGAAAGTTAATGACATTAACTGTATCCTTATGCATAAATGTGAATTATTCAAGATTATATGCATTATATATATTGTATTATGCATCATTGTCACAGCGCATATACACATGTACTATGTTGAACTTCAACATCAGCATTCTGTTATTTTAGGTCAGTCTGGAAGAATACCTCAGCATTGTCAGATCATTATTTTTTCACAAACATGGAAGTTGACCTTACTTTTCTTTAAGTTTGTCTCTATAGTGTGTGACCTTCTCCACCATCACAGTGTGTTTATGGTCCAATGTCTTGGAGTACCCTTCCAACTGCTTTTCTCTATTATCCAGTAGCTGATTCTTATGATTCAAATCTTTTTCTAACTCCAAAATATCATCTTCTTGTGCCTTAATATGTGCATCTTTGTCTTGAATTGATTTCTGAAAATAAAGTAAAAAATTGTAATGATCATCAGTAATTAAATCACATGATGTTTATTTTTTCCTTTTGAATGAGTGTAGTTAAAAAAGAATTTGTCCGGCATGACCAAGATTCATTTCAGAAATGTTCACTGTTTTTTTTTTAAAAAAAACAACAAATTTGAACAGAATTGTCAAATACATGTACAATATATGTGACATGATGTTTGATGAATATGTACAGTTTGATCATGATCGCTAAAGAAATATGGCTTCAAAACAGCATTCACTAAAAGAAAATGTCCACCAGTCAGCCATTTTGAATCTTATCTGAAAAACTGAATGATGTCCATCAAGGTCTAAATTGCAATTAGTCAGTGATTCTAAATTAGATCACTAACTAATGAATGTTTATAAGTATCCTAAGATGCATAATATATGAGCGAAGTTTGAACATAATCGGTCAAGGCACGTCCAAGATACAGGTGTGATCACACAGATACATAAATTCTTGTTAATGAACTATGTTCAAATGGGGCTATTACAGAGATGAAGAAAATTGGTGACTACACTGACCTGCCATCTTCTTTTTTGATCTTGAAATTGTTTTTCATATTGTTCTCCTATTTCCTTGATCCTGGAATCAGAGTCTGTGTTCCTGACCATTGAATCCATCAGTTGTTTCTCCAAAATGGCATTATTTCCACGCATCTTCTTAAGTTCATCTTGGAAATTTTTTTCATAGTCCATGAGATCAATCTGTAATTAACAATTAATAAGTTAGGGGGTCACTATATTTACATCATCCATACTTCCCTGTACCAGACTTCCCTTGGTGCTAGTTAACATCTTCTATATACCAGACTCCCTAGTTGTTAATACCCTGCGACACAATATGTGCAGGTTAACACATGCTTCCCTTAACCAGACTCCCTAACTATGTGTTAGTTAACATGCTTCCATACACATTGTTACAGTACTAAATTCCAGGTGTTTCCGAACTGAATTTCCAACTCTAGACAACATATGTCGATATCAGACTCACTAGATGTCCTGTACAAGACACAAGCAATGCAGGTTAACAATTCTATCATGCACCAGACTCCCTAACCTCTTGCTAACATGCTTCCCTGTACATTGTACATTCTTAGTGTTAGTTCTTTGAATAAGACTCCCTAGGTGCCAGTTAACATGCTTTTTTGTACCAGACTCTCTCACTTCTCACAAATATGTTATCTCTAAGATGCACTTACATTAGAGTGTATAGTATTTAGGTACTGAATTCAGAACTCTAGACAAAATATGTCAATATATCAGACTCCCTAACCTATTGCTAATATGCTTCCCTGTACATTGCACATTCGTAGTGTTAGTTCCCTGAATGAGACTCCCCAGGTGCCAGTTAACATGCTGTCTTGTACCAGACTCCCTAGCTTCTCAAAAACATGTTTATCTCTAAGATTTAACATTACAGTGTACAATATTTAGGCACAGAATTTAGAACTCTTGGCAACATATGTCCATATGAGACTCTCTAACTTACCTCTAATCTCTTTATTTTACTTCTTAGTTCTTCTTCTACTGTAACACAATGAGCATGAGTTTCAGAGTAGTCCAGAACATGTCCAACTGCATGTAACTCAGTGCAGTAAGGAGATGTCCTCTGACACTCAGGACTAACAAAGTGAGACACAATTTTCATAATGGATTGGTCTATGCCTGGTTCTCTGGAATGCTTGGTAACCTTCTGTGGAATGTGATCTCTACGCAGTGTGATAAGACTGTTACAGATACGAATTTCTCTGCATAAGCATTTCTCAGCTCCACACATTTTTCCAAACTTGTGAACGATTTCGATATCCAGCATCCAAAAAGGAAGCTCTATTCTCTTATCACGAATCACTGGTTTCTGAAACAAAACAAGTCATTATAAATAAATTTTACAATCCAATCTGAAGAATGAACTAAAGTGCATTAGAAATAAATGCACATACATGTACCAGACAGTCATGATTGTCAATAACTATTTACTGTAAATTTTCACTGCTACAAATGTTTGTGATTTCAGGTACCTCACACTCGATCCATGTTGTGGGACCCCAGTAAAATTGTCACTGCTAAAAATTTTGCAGTTTTCACTGACTCACTTTAACCTCTTCACCGCCACCTTGCCCAAAAATTTCTGCCCATTTGTCTTGCATTCGGCTATATTTCTGTACATGAACCCGAGTGTGGAGCCAACAAACAAAATTATAGACAATTTTTAGTTTTTACTCAAAAAATTTGGCTATTTTTGTCCCAATCTTCCAAAGGAAAGTGCATACTGTAGAATACTTTATTTTCGCTTGGAATTTATTTTCGCTATTTTCGCTGAAGGCATGATTCCGTGAAAATTTAATCCAGCGAATATACTTTTTTTCCTATATTTTACATTAAACTCATCAAAAATCAGTGAAAATAAATTCCAAGCAAAACGCCCAAAAAGCCTTTTCAGTGAAAATTAATTCCAGCGAAAATAAAGTATTCCACAGTATTATAAATAGGACTAGGACTGTTTTATGAATTTGTAATATCAAGTATAATTTAATTCAGTCTGCTCATTTTCATTCTGGTCTATTCAGTGCAAAACTGTGATTCTACAATATTTATGGTTTATGGTTTTATTACCATCATTAGTGTGTTAGTCTCATTTGGTTTAAACAATCTTAACTAAATTGTTTTAACACAGCACTTTTATGCTCAACATTAGGGTGCTCGCACTGGCCACTAGAGGGCAACATACCAACCTCTTCATCTTTGGTGTCAATGACATCTATCATAGATAATTCTAATTTTGGTTCAACTAGATTAGCTAACTTTATTCCATGCTGCAAAATACTTCGTTGATCATCAGTAAGTCGTGCAAATGGTTTCACAAGCAGTGTTTTGGTTTTCATGGCTTCCCTGGCTTCTTCTAAAGTAGTGTAGCGACCAGATTTGTGTAAAAGATTCAGCAAGGTTTGATTGCAGCGCACGACCTAAAAAATAGCATATATCACCAGTTAGAAGAGCATTATTGTTTAAATAAATCATATATTCCTGTTGATGATACAGATCAGATACATAGAGGAAAACTCATGAGTGACACTAAAATATAAGATGTTAGTAAAATTACTATTATAATATGAGTTTAAAGTGCCTGTGAAATGGCTGCTATTTTCACGCCTATGTATCCATTGATACATAAATATTATTATTTTTTTATGTTTCTAAGCATGAATTATTTTTTTAAGTGAAAAAATGTGTTTTAAACTCAATCTACGGCAACTTTATTTGCATACAGAAATTCCCCTTGTGACGTCAGAAGGGGAAGTCGCGTGGCAGCTTGCATTGCCGTTACGTGTAAATAAGGCAAATTTCTTCTGCAGTTTTCTCGTCTTTGACTAAATTTGCACTTATGTACTTGTTCGTCGAGGAGGAATGGACCATAATGAACACATAGTATAAATTTTTGTTGCATGGGGTTGAGTTAGATGCGAAATATGTTCGTTCTGGTGTAGCTGGTCACCGTGATCGTCAGTGGCGCACGTTTGTACACTGTCGCTGGACAAAATAGAATTTGACGTCGGAATTATCTCGTTATTTAGCAGGTTACTAGGCACGTCACTACACTGTTTTATTTCATCGATCGTCTGAGTAAAACTTTCAAAATTAAAATAAAAGAGAACATATTTTGACATTCTAAACATTAGACCATAGTGATCACTATAAAATGATTTAAAAAACGACAAATCACAGTTACTAAATAAATGACAGTCGCGTGGAAATAAATTGAAATTTTGTTAAAATAGATGAACGCGTCGGGTCACGACGAGGGCAAGTGCGTTAAAAGCGGCGTTCAATTGGATAACAAAAATGATCGAGATCGACACACATACAGATAAATTCAGAGTGGATTCGAGTTAGCGTGATCCATGGTATGATTGTCATAATTATAACATCATATAAAACT